GGGAGGAACGACCCGAAATATTCGCGAAACGTCAGAGTCAAACCAAAAAGAATCCACGCAGCTCAAACCCGAAAACCAAATCTAATATGCATGGATATCGCGAAAGCCTAAAATATCAAAACATGCTTTTCTTATTTTGCTTTAAAAAACCGTGTTTTTTCTTATAGATTAACAGTATTGAAGCCTTAACATGTCTGCAAACTCGAATGGGCTCGGAATGGAAATCATTGTTTTTAATATTGCAAATAATTTTTTTTTTTTTTTTTCATCGATTAGGGTAAACTTGGGTATGATACCGGAAAGATAGCCATAGGCTGTAATTTCTCTAATAATTGCAAAATTGCGTTTGTGTAATCAGTCATAAAGATAATCACTATTTATCGTAATGTATATACGTACATTTTTCGAAATAGCAAGATTATGAATATTATGTTATATTTTTATTTTCTACCACCTGTAAAATTTCTCATGTATCCACTAAAACTTGTTATAACATCAAATAAATTACAGTTAAGCTATTTAAATCAACGTTAGATACATAAAATAGATATGCAAATTGTAATATAATATGTATTTTTATTTTCGTTTTTACTATTTGTTTATAAGTACTATTATAGCCGTCTTTCATTTACATTTTGGATAAGATGGTCCACTATCATTCTAACATTTATAAAACGAAAATCGTTATATTTAAAAAATTACTTTCAATATTACAGTAATTAAATCTTATGTACAATGTTTTAATCAAACATTGGATTTAGAATTTAAGTTTTACAATAGAGGTTTCTATTTTATACGTGTATTATATTTTCCATAAATAATATGTATTAAATATTCTATACTAAAATGAATATGTCAAATTATCCCGATGAAAAATTTGTCATGCAAAATTATGTATGAAATTTGTCCATAATTATGTATAATTATATATAATCATATAAAATTATATATAATTATACATAATTATATATAACAATATGTATAATTACATGTAAATCTATGCGTAATTATGTAAAATTATATATGAATTTATATATATAATTATATATAATTATGTATAATTACATATATAAGTAGAATGTATAAACATGAATGGACAAATTTGATACGTAATAATATATAATTATGTATAATTATATATAATTTTATATAATTTTATATAATTATATATGAAAAATTTTTCATTGGGATGTTTCTTCATTATTTTATAAAATAATAGATACAGAATCTTGAACATAAAATATGTATGGGCCATCTATTCCTTATGGCCATCTTAAACATTTAGATAAGATTGCCAATGTACTCATGTTTTGATATTTTTGTAATAAATAATTTCACTGAAGTATTTTCCTTTTAACTCTGATGGTATTATGTACTGTAGGCTTCAGTGCAATATGCCAAACGCTATTAAGAAATAATAAGAAATGTATTTTTTTGCATTTTAAAATGTATGGCTATCTTATCCGAGTTTATCCTAATTCCGTCCTCGGGGGTTGTTTATTCCCGAAGTACTCCGCGCTCAAATTGTTAATTTATTAAGTGATCCGTGTACACACCAATATTGAGAATAAACGCGAACGTTTGCTACAGTAATTACCGCCCTAATACGCGTTACGCGGCATATGTAAATCATAAGTACTAGTAGCGACGCGCAGTTTCGTGTGCAATTTGTGCAATATTATCTGACTTTAATTGCACATCACAATTTATCAGCTGATATGCAACGAAGTACGTCCTCCACCCGTGGCAAAAGTATTTTCGCGATTCCGTTCCTCACTCTCGTCGTTCGCGCCACGTCTTTAACACGAAGGGGGCGGGAATGTCTCGGGGAGAGTTTTAATTATTTCGCCTGTCTAAGGAAATTAACGCTGCATTTTTAATTGGTAATTAAATCGAGCGCAATCGTATACGGACGCGTGAAAATTGTTGTGCGATTCTGTGAATATACTCGATAAATATAAACAGCTATAGCATATTATACCGATATCATAATTTCCAATCGAGCGGTATAAATGCAATATATAACACACGCTGTGTGTAATAGTTACGTCGTCGAGCGGGAATTATAATATTTGTGTAATCCCAGATAGCACAGAGAGTTCAAAAAGAATTCACTCGTATGTCACCAATTCTGAGTTCATTTTCAGATGCAAAAAGAATTCTTTTTACTGAACTGAATTCTGGAAAATTCTTTTTGCATCTGAAAATAAACTCAGAATTGATGACATACACTGAGAGAAAAATTACCTTAAAATCAACAAATATTTCTTTGATGGGTGCTATTAACATATTTACTAAAATCTAAATTCTCTTTATTTAAATCAAATATTATTTACCTGATTTAAGTGAACAATATTTGGCTTAAATAAAGAGAATTTAGATTTAAATAAATATGTTAATGACATCCACCAAAGAAATATTTGTTGATTTTAAAGTAATTTTTCCCTCAGTGACTGAATTCTTTTTGAATTCTTTTCGAATTCTCTGTGCTACCTGAGATGCCACCATTGGCTGGTGTTTATCGGACAGTCTGTGCCGAAGCCTGTTTACTGTCTCCTAGCATCGGCAAGCGGTGAAAGAGAACGCTGCGCATCATACGGTGACGCTGAACCACACACACCTGTGTTCGTCGTGAACAAGTCCGAAACGGTGTTCCTGCACTGTAAAAACTGACGTGTTAAATTTAACATTTCATGTGTCCCAAATCATCCACTCTCATTTATGTATAAATTTAACGCAAAACAAATGTGGTAAAAAATAACACGCATAATATGTAAAAAATTAACACAAGAATTTAACACTTGAATACCGTCAGGAATCACAGTTTGTGTTAAATTGACACATGTATGATGTTAAATTAACTAAAATAAAACGTTACTTTCACATTTGAGAGAAGTATTAATCTATGGTTTTGATGAAGTAAAAATGTTAATTTAAGATAATCTATCTCTGACATATGAAATATATCAATTTAACACAACCTGTGATTCTTAACGGTATTCAAGTGTTAAATTCTTGTGTTAATTTTTTTCATATTACGCGTGTTACTTTTTAACACATTTGTGTTAAATTTACACATAAATGAGAGTGGATGATTTGGAACACATGATATATGTTAAATTTAACACAGCAGTTTTTACAGTGTAGAATCGTGCCTGCAGCTCATCAAAATCGCAACGCGCGTACTCATTCGTTAATTTTCTCTAATTAATTTCGCAAGAGCTATTGGCGAAATGTGAAACGGCAATTTTCCAGTTCAATTCGACTGCGCTTCATCTGTACACGAGCGTTCATCGTATCTCAGATATTCTGTACATTGCGCGAGTGCACGCACGCGCACGCCTACGGGCATGCACGGCGCGTAGAGATATAAATCAATACGACGGCTCGTCATGTTTCGTACTACCCTATGTGCAGGGGGAGAATTTGAACTGGGTGTAGAGTCAGCGTCGTATACGCCTCACGATTCTCTCACGTCGAGGGTTACACGATTTTCGGTCTTATACATATAAGCATGAGAGCAAACTTTGTGTAAAAGTCATTTTTACGAAGCTTAAGTTATACTGATCGTCTTAGTAACTTCCCGAGCAGCACAAAGCACCAATGTTGAATCTACAGCAGCCAATATAGAACCTACAGCGATCAACCGTCCGTCAATTAATATCCCTTATAGAAAAGTATCACTAACTAGTAATAAATTAGCCAGTAATAAATAATAATTTTATTACTCGTACGAGTAATAAAATTATTGAACGACAATAATTATCACTGGCCAAATAATCACTTATCAATATTGAATTTCTATAAGGGATGTGCTGCTAGGATCTGCAAGATTCCAACTGAAAAGCTATTCTTGGAGAAAAATGAAGAATTATAAATATAGATTGGTAATGCTATACAGCTAAACATAAAAATGCACGTTTTAACGTCTTAATATAATGGAAAATTTGGTTAGAACGTGCACTTTTATGCTTAACTACAGCATTATTAATCCATATTTATATATAACTTCTTATTTTCCATTTTTTGCAACAGCAGATTCAGTTGGAATCCTGCAAGATTATTAAGGGCCGATTTTTCAATAGCAGTTTAAACTTGGATTCTAGTTAAAACTCTATTCTAACAATGCGTTTGTTTTTTTTAAATAGAGTTTAAATTGAAATCTAAGTTTAAACTATCATTGAAAAACCGGCCCTAAAACAATTAGGCTGAAGTCCCATGGCATGTATTTTCCGCGTAAGCGCATAACCAATAAATTGCGACGTTTAATATTGTTGTTGGAACTTCTAAAAGGATAGAAAGATGTGACACGGTTACGCGTTATGCGAAAATACGTGCAATGGAACTCCATCCTTAGTTTAACCAGAGCTTAGTAAAAGTGACTTTAATTATGATGCAGTGTGTATACTCGTGAACAGAAATATTAGCCGTAATTTTTGCAATAAGTTTATGAACTGTTTGTCTTGTCTAGTGAAACAATTCTTTTTCAATGGGAAAACTCTCTCCATCGCGGACAAAACGAAAAGTTCACAAACTCACCCGAAATTTACGGATTACTTTCTGTAATCACGAGTATACATTTGGATCCATATTCTAAACTTTCTTTCATCGCTAAAAGCGACTCTAAGGTTGCATTGTAAAATGTCCTTTTTGAGGAAAATTTTATTTAATATTCTATAGTATATGTAACGTGAAAACTACAGGGTATTGAGTAAAATTTTCCTTAAAAAGGACGTTTTGCAACTTAAGAGAATTTGTTTTTTAGTAATTTTCAAGTGATACATTTTCCTACTGAATACGCAATATATTGCATTAATGTTTAATCAGTCTAAAGTGTGTGTTATATATTTATTTTAATTACTATGTGAAATATAAATTTAGAAATGCGTGAGGCCATCTTTAGGCTGCTCGATCAATTACAATTACCGTCGGTAAGCCATATTGCATGCTGAGAATTTATCTCGATGCATTCATCGATCGATATATTCATTATCGGCAGTTAATAACCAAGACTCAAGACGTACCTAGAATGACCACTAGATGGCGACGTATTCGCTACATTTGCACACCCTGGCGTCATGAACGGCATATTACATTTAAATAAGACGCACAGTACCATGTACGACCGTTACAAGTTGAGGCTCGACACGAAGAAATAGGTCTGTTGTTTTTATTATCTTTATGTTAGATTGCATATTTTGACTTTGGAATAAAAGAAGTGTATAATCAACAGTTGGAGAGGAAAGGGATGAAGTTCCAGTGCGGCACTAATGCAGCGGAAGAAAATACGTTTGATGTAAACATTGAGTGCACTTGTCAGTAAGTATCACACATTTTCTAAGGAAACATGGATTTGATGGCGAGACTAGCTAAAACGAGGGAAGCTGAAGAGAAACAGAAGGTAATTGACAAGGCTAAACAGATATCTAAGATAGAAGTTCAGCTGGAGGAAAAGTCACGAAAGTTGGAAGCATCCAATAAAGAAAGGGATATACTTGAGAAAGAGCTCATAACTACCAGATCAGAATTGGCAGGAATTAAGAGGACATTAGGTAAATTGGTAATTTATTATTAAGTAAACTAATTCAATAATAAAATTAACAGAACTGGATAAATTTATGTAACAGCACATTAATTTATATATGCTTTCATGAAGAAAAATGCTTATATGATGTTTCTTTTTAACTAGAATTGGAACGACAAGAAAGGAAGGATTTGGAAACTCGTGCACTTGGATTGATAAGAGATGCCAAACGCAAGTGGGAGAATGCAGAGAAGGATAAGATAGCACAATTAAACAAGCATATTGATGCACAAACTGCTAGAGTTACAGAATTATGTACGAGCAATAATGATATGAGTTCTCGTCTGCAGAGGACAGAGTGTGAACTACAGACAGCGAATGCAGAATTGGATAAATTGCGTGTGTTCCAAGTAATACAATGTTATTTTAATTATTATTTTAAACTGTTGTAAAGTATAAAATAATTGTTATTTTGCCACAATATAAAAATAAATTAATATAATATGATTATCAATTTAATATTATTGCTGACATATAACAAGTACCAACTTTAAGTGCAATAAATTAAGGTAATTAAGTAAAACTAATGATCTTTTGTTGTATCTTAGACACAGTATAAGGAATCTTTGGCAAAAACACGTGAATTAAACAGACAAAGTGTTCAGGGTGTTGAAATTAAGCTGGAGGAGATAGCTGTGCGCAGTCATAATCAACTGTCTGATTTGCGTGCGAAATTGGACTTTGAGACAGCGAAGAATACAGATCTCGAAACTAGGTTACGAAGTGAGCAGGATTCGAATCACTGTCGGGAATCGAGATTGAACGTCGCCTTAGAACTTGCTCAAAATGAACTAAAAGATTGTCAAGAACAATTACGTACTATACAAGCTACATTGCCGGCGAGAGATGCCGAGATTGAAGCTTTACGTAAACAGTTGCAAGATAGGACGAATCAGATAGACGATTTGAAAGTATCTGAGAAGATGCTTACAGCATTGCACGAACAACTGGAGAGAATAAATCTTGAAAACGAGCAGTTGAAGCAGCAGTTGCAAGTGAGTATTTAAGCACTTTATCAAAGATCAATACAAAAAAGTCTGATGCAAGTTTCATTTGACAAAATTTTACTTTACTGAAATGGCTGCAACTTTTAAAGGTCACCAAATCTGATCTAAATGAAACCATGTTGAATCTGGAGCAAAGCGAGGCACTTGCCTTAAATTTAGAACAAGCAACACAAGATAAGGTTGTATTACAGAAGAAATTAAAGGATTCTTTGGAAAAAGAAGGTAAAATGCACAAAGAAAGGAATTCACTCAGTGTTCTCTTATGTTGCTTATTTTTTTTTTGGTTTCTTAATTGCAGAGGAACAAATGCGTAAGGTTGGAAATTTAGAGGAACTGTTAAAACGTTTGGAACATAGTGTCACAAAGTTGGAAACGGAAAATGCTAATCTTAGACGATCAGGCAAGATAGAACAGTTTACTTCTCGTGCAGTAATCACTGAAGCTACAAGTACAAAAATCGCTCATCGACCGGAAGAAATGGAGAAACTGCAACAGCAACTTCAGACCTTAAGGGAGGATTTAGCAGCTGAAAAGCAGGCGTTGAAACAAGCCCAGTTGACTCAGTGGAAGAAAGATAAGGAATTGTCGGATGCCAATTTGGATAAACGTATAGCTACGAGGGAAGCTAAGAGAGCTGAAGAAAAAATCAAAACGTTGCAAGAAGAGAAAAAAAAGTTACAAGAGAAATTAATGAGCAAAGCGAAAGAGGAAGAAGAAAATTCCAAGAAACTCTTAAAGGAGTTGGAAATTGCGAAAGCATCGTTGAACGATATCACGAGAGAAGCATCTAGAAATAAAATGCAAGCCGACTCGGCTCAAAGGGTACACACACATGAAACTTATCTGTTATTTTTACCGTGAAAATCTTATATTAATTAATCATTTGACATTTTTCAGGCTTTAACTCAAGCTAATCATCAGATCGAGGAACTTCAATCTTCGAGTGCGTCGTTACGTAGGGAATTGGATGCGGTTCGTAAGCAAACGCGACTGAATCAAGATCGCACCGATAATCTGAGTAGCGAAAATAAACGTTTGACACAAGCTGTCACCAGACATAATGAAGAGAAGACTGAACTCGAAACTAAAATAGCGAAATTGGAGCAAGATCTTAAGAGCTTTGAGGTAAACAATGAGTTCTTGAAAGATACTTGCACATTATTGGAGGAGCAGTTGACGGACTTTGAGAAATTAACAAATGACCATGAAACGCGCGAGAACACGCTGATTCAGGATAAAATGAAGCTGCAAAAGGACTTGGAAGCCGCCGAGACGAAAGTGCGCGAGGTGCGCATCGCGCAAAATGAAGAGAAAAAGCGGCGGCTAGTGGCGGAACGTAATGTTGAGCAATTGGAATCGGAGACGAGCGACATAGAGAGCGAAAGGGACAGTCTTATCGCTCAGATAGACCAGTACAAGGAACTTGTGCAAGAACTCAATACGCAAGTAGAGGAGTTGACCGCGAAGTGTGACGAAATGGAGTGCGACCTGTCGAAGACTCGTCGCGCTTTCGAAGAGTCTAAAGTGGAATCGAGAGTTGTGAAGGAGGAAGCTAGCAAATACTTGACGACAGTTCACGAGCTGAAGGAAGCGAATTTCGAGCTTATGTCCGATCTGCAGAAGAGTATAGACCAAGGACAAGAGTTGAGGTTGCGGATAGCGGAGTTAGAGAACACCTGCGGGGAAATAAGACAGTACTATCAGAAGTATTATCAAGATGGGGAGGTGCAGGCAAAGATTACTATACAACAGCAGAATAAGTTGATCAATTATTTGCAACTGAAGCTGGAAGAATCCAACAAGAAGAGGACCATGTGCGACAAGATACTCGGCACCAAGCAGAAGGAAAACGTGGCCCCGACAGGCACGGGAATGCTGGTGGGTTATCGCGAGTTAGAGGACCAACTCGCCAAAGAGCGAGCAAAGGTAAAAACGCTGATGGATCAGTTGTTAGTCTTGAAAGCTATGACCGTATCGGCGCCCACGTCCCCCGTATCACTAGATAACAAGCAAACAGCCAGAGGCGCTATCACGGAGAGCAGCAGTTCCTTAATCAGAGGATTATCCCCGCAAAGGATAGGGCACAACATCCCGCATAGATTCGACGTCGCATTACCGATGCGCGCTGGCAAGTGTGCAGCGTGCTCGGAGAGTATACAATTCGGAGGACGCGCCGCGATCTGCAGCGAGTGTCAGATCATGACGCATCTGAAGTGCGCGCTATCTGTACCTGCTAGTTGTGGCTTACCGAGTGGTATTCCGAAGTACTGTTGCAAGACTCGAGCCAGCGACGAGAGTTTAGTATCGATAGGAGACAGTGTTCAGACGTTGTCGATAGATCAGCCAGATCACCTAGACCCCGTAAGAATGTTTACTTTTATTCGTTAACCTGGTTAATTTATATTCCTGGTTTATTTATTTTATTTTATTTATTTTATTAATGTTAAGTTTGTGCAAAAAATTTGTGGTGTTTCTCAAATAAAATAGAAAACGAAGTTATCTAAGAATTAGTAAGTTTTAGAGTTATGAGATAAACAACGAGTTTCTGAAGAATACTTGTACATTATTAGAGGAATAGTTTATGAATTATGAGAGATTAACGACTGACCGTAAGACAAATAAACTGAACATTAACTTGGTATTTTTTAGACATTTTTCTAGAGAACTTTCTGTTCTCCTTTTAATAAAAACTTCCTACGAATTTTTTGTAGAAAAATGACAAATCTTTTGCACCAACTTAATAGTTATATATTATATTATATTTTTATTACTTTCGATTCTTTATCTCTATGTGATTAAAAATTATAAAATCCAGAGACTCAAATGGCCTCTTAGTCTTATAATTTTTAATAATCGAGTTTTCTGCAGTTTCCTGTTCAATATATTCAGATGAATTGTATATGTAGGAGCCACAAAACACTCAGCATAATAATGACGATAAGAATGCTGTTGGAATAGAAGGATGGGTGAAAGTTCCCGGCAGAACACAATCTTGTTGGGAAAGAAAATATTTGAAATTGGAAGGATCATATTTATGCGTTTACGAGCACCAACCTTCTCCAGGAATGGCACCTATAAATCGATTAAACTTGATGGAGAACAGCGGATTCAATGTTTCCGAGACAGTGCAACAGCCTGATGTATTGGGAACAGCAAAATCCGACGTGCCGTTTATTTTCCGAATAGAATCGAATTCCACGACTACTTGCTGGCCTTCGTCCAGATTAGACGTGATGGCCTTGAGTCAAACTGACAAGAAAGAATGGTTGAAAGCCCTGAGGACCATTACCAGTCAGTGTTTGTACAGTGCACCCAAGTGTAAAAGAAAATATGAAACTGTACTCCGATTAGAGAAACATCAGGTGAGCGATGTGTTAAGATGAACCATGAGTGTGTCGTGTCTGTTTCACGAAATTCAACGTAAAAAAAAGCGAGATAAAGTAAACGTCCTAGTAATTGAATGTGTACCGATAATTGAATTACTAATAATATACTTGTGTTTGTTAAGATGCTTATCAATAAATGAAACAAAATCACAAAGTAACTGAATATTTCTTTTCATTTATTATATTGTTTTGTATATTGAAAAGCATTTAAAAGAAAAATACAAAACCAATATGTCAATCATTGGGACATGTATGTTCGACCACTGGGACGTTTACCTTAGTTGCGTATCTTTCGTTTTTGATTTTCGATAGAGACAATTTTGTTTCTTTTCTGCGTTGGACTTTGTGTACGTTTAAAATGATTTGTATTTACACTAATGGAAATTAAAATTCTGTTTTTAGTTGGATTTAAACTGCGTGGTAGATCTGCCTACAGAGAATGTGCTTTTGTTAGGTGCAAAAGAGGGCTTGTTCTCGTGTGCTCCCTGCAAGTCTCGTACGCTCACTACGATACGAGGTGTCAAGTTTATACACCAGCTCTCTTTGTATCCTCAATTGGATATAGCTTTAATGATAGCCGGTGAATATAGAGAACTGGTGTACTGTAACTTGAGGCTGCTGAAAAGTAACGCGTTAGCTGCTGACTGTTCCAGGCCAGCGATCAGTACGAGAAGTGTACTATCTTCTTCCGACAGTTGTCATCTTTATCAGATGCACAGCGAAATACTATGTGCTGCAACCGAATCTCATATAATGTACGTAGCTTTTAACTTATAAATGTTATTGGCTATTGATATGATAATAGATAATCCTGTACATATTGTGCAGAGTAGAAGATTAAAGGTGTTGCAGGCTAATATTTCGAAAACTTGACGAAATGTGAAATCTTTTTTTCCATAGGCTATTTGATATAGAAGATGTGGCATCATGTGAAAACAAATTTTTTTCTGGGTAACCTCATATTATATAAAGTCACTTCAAGAGTATTTTGATTTTTTAACTAATAACATATATTTTTTAATATATATGATGATTGATTGCTTGTAGTAAACACCTTGCTTGTTGGTGTCGTCAGTGACAAGGATGTTAACTTCCGGCCGGCATTGAGTTATACTTTACATACACGTGCATAAACGTATGCATTTGCATATAAATGTAACTACAAAGTGCAACTGCATTTTTCTCTAATTCACAATTGTGTTGTTTAATGTTAGTAAATTCTCCTCGTTATTTTACGGGTGTAATATTTCACGGATAGAAATATTAAGATAATTTTCTTTAAAAATGAACGTTGTTAAAATATTTCATATTTTATTTAAAAATCGAGCTCGCATTTGACCTTCAATGATTTTGCGTCATTATATGTTGTCTTCTTCAGAAGGTTAACTACACAATCGTATATATAAAAAATATATTGTCAGTTAAAAAGATGTTTTTGATATTGATAAGTGACTTTGATATATTTTATACAAGAGAAAATTACATTATTTTAAAAAAATAACATCATTTTATTACATAATGCCACTTTTAGATATCAAAACCTCTAAAAAACAAATATTTCATACATTTTTAAGTTTTAAGAATGTCAGTCACCTCTAATTGTTCATCCTATATCAATGCTGAGCATACGTTATTGTTAATACAGATTACTTAAATGGAGAAGTGGAGAAGATTTTGGAGATTTTATTGAGCTTCGCGAATTCGAGACGCAGGGACCCTGTAACTGCGTGATATTTACCTCGAATCTACTTATCGTAGGATGTCATAAGTTCTTCCAGATTGATTTGCAAACTTATAATGTAAATGGTAAGTAAATTAAATAATAAAAATAGATGGTAGGCAAATTAAATATATTTAAAAGTGAAATATTATTCATGATCTTTAAACTGCATACGAATCCGCATCTTGTATAATTTGCGAAAAATATTATTAACTATTAATTATACAAAATCGATCTAACAGACTACTCATAAATGGATTTTTTTACTTGATATAAAACTAATCTCTCCTTGACGGAAACATCGAGAAGGGTAATTATCTATCGCGAAGTTATCTGTCTTCTTGAATTTTAAATTGTTCATAGAACCGATTTTTAGTTAATTGATACGTTAAAGTATAATATGGGAAATTAAATAAGGAATACAATATTTTATTATTTTCACATTTTTAAAGTTTAGTTTTTATTTACAATTGCTTGCCACATAACAAATTATCATGCTCTCGACAATTTTCAATGATTCAATAATTCCAAATTAGAGGATTCGATAATAAAAAGTGACCCACTTACATGAAGAGTATTATTGTACTAACATTATAATAACTAAAATTCATTTAATAAAGGTACATAATTCAGTTGATTAAAAACCGATACATATGATACAGAATTCCCAGATAAAGATGATAGCTCGGTCAAAGCAGGACTATCAGGTGCAGCTAAACTTGGTATTTTCCCTGTTTGTATCCTGAATATCTCTAATACACATGACGCCACTGAACTGCTACTGTGTTATAATGAATTTGGCATATTTGTGGATGAAACTGGTAGAAGGACTCGCGCCGTTGAACCAACGTGGAGCCACTTTCCATTTACTTTCGGTAGATATATTATCTCCAATTACATGCTAGTTATATTATATTAACTCTTTGCGGTCGAAGCGCACTGCTGATGGATACTTTGCAAGTCGTAAATATTCTAGAATGAGATGGTGCATGTTACAAATAGTCACAGATTAATCTGTGAAGTCGTTAAATATTTTTTATCAATAAATTATTATGTAGCCACATCTAATATCTCGTAGAAAAAAATGCGTCATATTATATCTTATTCTATAGTCATTCACGAACTTGTTGCTATTCGCTTGACGAATTTAATATGAATAATATCAGTGTGTTCGAAGTCTAGTTCGCCGTCTGACCGCGAAGAATCAGTCGTATAAATCCTGCTATTAATAAGTTATATTTTGTCCTTTTCAGCATTCTGTAAACCATACTTATTTATTATTTACTTTTCGTCCGTTGAGATAATAAAACTCGATTCGGAGGCGTATTGTACACTGGAGAAAAATCCCGAACGTACGTTAATCGAATTGTCTAGTCCACGTTATCTAGGCATGGCTGCCTCAAGAGGAATTTATGTGACGGCTATGAATTCTTACCTCGATTTACTGAAGATTGATGGTTCTATGCCAACATTGAACGGCAGTTTAACAAGTCTAGATACTCTGTATGTCGTTTTCTTTATTAAAATTATTGACATAGATGAGAACATTCTGGTGTATAGAGCAGATTATTCACTATAATTATCTAACTACTTAACAGCACTATTTATCATTAATAATATTTTTGCAGAACTCAAGAAAACGAAAGTAGCTCGGAATTCAGTTTTACTTCAAGCTTAATGGAGGCTTTAGATGGACAAGGAAAGAAAGTACACTTTGCTGGTGTGCAAAAATATTAAAATATTAATATACATTTTCACCATATGACATTTAATTTTATTATTATTTCCCGGACGTAACGTTTACATTGGATTATAATGTCAAAAGCGAGAAATTAATTTGTAATATGTGATTTATTGATAAATAAATATATATTTATATATATATTTGGATCTGTTACAACATAACGCAAACATGATGAAATAGAAAGTTCTTGGTGTTTCTTACTAATTTATATCAATTAAAACTTGCCAAATAATATTATCGAATATGACTGCAAAAATATATAGCATATGGAAAAATATTGCTACGTTGCACAGAAAATAAAATTCAAATAATTTCTCGCAATGACCTCATAAGTTAAGAAAATAATTCTCTTGATGTCATAAGAAGTCACAAGAAATAGTTTAATAATTTATGAAGAACCTGGGGTACTATTCCGTTTCCGCATACAGACTGTTGAATCGGTAGATGTTGCGCAACTCTTTATACTGTGGAAAAACGCAAGTGGTCGTTGCGCAACGACGTCTACCAATCCGACAACTGTCGGAACCACGGTAACGGAATACCAGCCTTGAATTAGTATTAGAAAACCAAATCTCAAATGTTTCCTGATGATATTAAACTCAATATATTTTAGCTTTAGTTTCTTGGAGTACAATCACAATAAGAGTATAAAAATAGCTGTTACTAACAAGTAACAATAATAGTACTTAAGTGATTATATTATGTAAATTAATATTAATAACAAAGGAAAGAGAGATAGAGAAAAAGAGCGAGAGATCAATTACGTAATGATAATGATAATAATAATAACAATAATAATATATATCTTATGTAATAGTAAAATTATTGTATTTTTGTAGTCTTAAACACGTACGAAGACTAAAAAAATATATACTTATGTGGTACTTTAATAACAATATATATTATTATCAGATATATGATTCATCTTGTATTAATTTTTTCTAGAAACATATAGATTAGTGCTTATAAATAATCTATGCACACAAGCATTATATAATAAATTGAAGTATGTAAATAATCTGAAATATTACGTGATATTACACTTAAACGTACCGCAAAAAATAAAAGCTAAGGTTCACGTGTTACAATGCGTTATATATTAACACATACTTAACAATACCAGGGCATACATTATGTAAAAACATGCGATATCCGGCAACTCTTGACTTCTACGTCAGTAAACGGATTTCATTATCACTTTCAGACAGCACACGAAAAAGTCTCCTGAAAACCTTACTCGTAATTTGTTATAATTAAATTTGCATTGTCTTGTAATAATATGAAAATATGTGCAAGATATATCTTTTAACATTGAAATTACCAAAGCAGTCAAAACGAATGGTTCGTAATTTATAATAAAAAAATACGCAAATCTATAACGTGCACTTAATGTCTTCAATAAATAAAACTAAACGAAGTAAATAAAGATTTTTTCCTTTGCACTAAGATTTTTTGTCAAAAATCTGTCATTTAGATTGCTCTAAAAGAAAAAGATTAAGTCTGGTAGAAATAGATATCGTCGATAGTTCAAATGACTTTTAGGACCGGTTTTTTTCAACGATAGTTTAAACTTAGATTTTAACTTAAATTCTGTTTAAACAAAACAAACGCATTGTTAGAATAGAGAACTTGAATCCAAATTTAAACTGCTATTGAAAAACTGGCTCTTAGTCTCACTGCTGTGGAATCCTGGGTTAATGACGTAAAAAGCGAGGGAATTGTCATACAAAAAATCTTGCGTGTTATTTTCAATTGAAAACATTGATATAAAAGAACATTTCAGATCGCTTGAACATTCTTGTAAAATTCCACGAAAACTATTCCTTTCCCTCGACAATCAATAAATAGTTGTTAAAATTAATGTGATGAGCAACTTTCCTCTCTAACATAACGTTCCTTATGATTTTGCCACGTTCTTTTTACAGCTATTTATTGGCTATCAAAGGAAAGGATAGTTTTCTCGGAGCATTTTGCAAGTATATTTAAGCGATCTGAAATGTTCTTTCATACAACTATAGTTTATTTTGAAGTAGCACGCAAGAATTTTTAACGTGTCATTTCTCGCTTCTGACATGAGAATTCATCATGGACGCAGCAAGTACACAGAAATTTTAAGGCAACTTTATTATTGCGATCTATTTTGTAAGTCATTATTTTATACAGGAGGAGAAATGAAAAAATGTAACGGGTTCGAAAGTTTTCTTCAAAGAAGTCAAACTAATGAAACGCTCTGAAGAAAAGCATATTTTTTAAATTAATTTTGCGCAAATGGATCAAACCGAATATTTTGAAACATTGTATATCAATTAAGTAACTATTAAACTTTATATTACTATTTTTGTTATTTAGAAAAACCCGTAAATAAATAAATAAATAAATAAAAAGTTACTTAATATACTTGTAGTTGGAGGATAAAATTCAGAAAAACATCAAACTTAATAGCTTTTTTAATAACGCAAAATAACTAGAAGATGAAATTTGAATATTTTAGTTTTAAACATCTATTGTTTCTGCAATTTTCGTTCCACAGTTTAAAATTTATAGCGTATTTGACTGAACTTGAGTTAATTGATGTTGTAAATTTAAGTTCACTGGTCGAATATTTTTGTATAAATTTTGTGATTGACTAGTAAAATCTTGTGACGTCATTAATCGACCTTGGGTCAACTCACACAAATCCAGTCGAATACGCTATTAGATTTATCCTCTACGTACAAACATATTATTTAAGAAACTTTTTGATTTTTTTATCTTCAGATCATTAAAATGGGCGCTATCTTTCCCGCCGATTGCAGCGATATTTTTTACAGTCATAAGTTCGGTCACATGCTGCATATTTACAGGTTTTTCTAAATAACAAAAATAGTAATATGAAGTTTATTAGAGAGAGTTAATTAGTTAATTAATTTATTTTAATTAATTAATTAATTATCATACAATGTTCTAAAACATTCGGTTGATCTATTTATTTTAAATATTGATTTCCAAAAATATATTTTTTTCACAGCGTGACATTGGTCTGGCCCCTTAAAGTCTCGTTAAACTTTATTTTTTTATATAATTAATCCACAAACATATAAAGCAAGATATTGAGAATACAGTTGCATTGTAATTATTTATAAAGCTAACATGCGTCCTAAATGTAATATAATATAGTCTTAAGAGAAAAACATGGCCTGATAAGTTTTAATATGCAAATAAGATTGTAGAGGAAGTTCAAAGTAGCAACAATGAAATTCATTAGACGGAGTAGGGATGTCTGTCGTTATAAAAGGTCACTTCCCGCTATCTTGTTCCTCGATCTTGATTTGTCCGTTGTGTCAATCAGACGGTGTGCCAGTTAAATTTTCTGGCGAATTTTTGAACTTTTGTGCAGTGCAAGTAGTTGTAATCAATAAGAAGACCGGTTATAAGCAACAAATTATTCACGATCTGCGAGATATCATTAAGATAACGAGCTATTAATAGTGCTCCTGATAAAAAATACGCTTTCTGCGAAGAAAATCGGCTGACCTAAGAACAAGATGTCTACAAATACATCAATCAAGAGAAATTACAAACCGCCTAAACCCGGCGATGAAATTGTTATTTCCGGCATCGCTGGTAGATTCCCAGAATCGAGAAATGTAGAAATACTCAAAAATAATCTGCTCAACAAGAAAGATATGGTCACAGATGATGATCGTCGGTGGAAATTGGGTGATTAATTGATTTAAGTTTTAGTTGTTTTAATAGTATATAAAAACTATATATAAATAAGTCTATGCTTCGTTGATGCTTCCACTACCGTTACTAAACTACCTGCTATTACTACTTACTATTGATATTGTATTTATATTTTGACCTCGATATATCAATTAAAAACGCGAGCATGATAAGTCACGATGTTGTATGTTTCATTTTATATCGGTAGATCACCCGGACATTCCTCAGCGAACCGGGAAGATCAATGACATTGAGAAATTCGACGCGCTATTCTTCGGCGTCCACTTCAAGCAAGCTCACACGATGGACCCGATGTGCAGGATGCTGATGGAGCACGCTTACGAGGCTGTCATAGACGCGGGGATAAATCCGAAACAGTTGCGTGGAACGCGAACGGGAGTCTTCATGGGCGCGTGCTTCTCGGAGTCCGAGAAGACTTGGTTCTACGAGAAATTACAGGTATAACATTCGCAAACGCGTAATAATAATTATTATTATCATTAATATCAAACGAATGTGTGTGTGTGTGCGTGTGTGCGCAATCCCAGTAAGCAATCTGTTAGCAGTCTGACGACAGATTGGCGGCATTGATTGAGCAGGATCTGTTGACAGAGCCACAGTCATCCGTGTCTGCAATCTGCTGTCAATAGATTGACGGCAGAAAGCGAGCAGAATCTATAGTATTTCTACTGGGAAATATTAGAACGACAGATCCTGCGTGTGTGTGTCCTGCTCGATTTCTGTCTATCTTTCTAAGTCTATCATCAGATCCTGTTATATTTCTACAAACAAGTTGCTAACAGAGTCTGCTGCAGACACTGCGTAAAACTTAGTGTTGCAAGATTGACTATTTGGGAATAATAAAGGTTGGTAAGAACTGATTGTAGATCTAATTTGCTTTTACATTTATAATAAATGATATATTTGTAAGAAATAACGCACGCAGATACAACCCAGTAAACACAAAGTAACAGTAACATAACATCAATGTTATAATTTCCTACTCAACAATGTAACTGTTATATAACCTGCGCGTTATATAACAGTTACATTGTTGAGTAGGAAATTGTAACATTGATGTTATGTTACTGTTACTTTGTGTTTACTGGGAAATTTTATCTCATTACCCAATGAAAAATTTTTCATATATGATTATATATAAAATTATATAAAATTATATGTAATTATACATAATTATATATTATTATGTATCAAATTTGTCCATTCATGTTCATACATTCTACTTATATATATAATTATATATAATTATATATAATTATGTATAATTATATATATAAATTCATATATAATTTTACATAATTACGCATAGATTTATATGTAATTATACATATTGTTATGCATAATTGTGTATAATTATATATAATTTTATATGATTATATATAATTATACATAATTATGTATGGACAAATTTCATACATAATTTTGCATGAAAAATTTTTCATCGGGTAGTCAAAATTTTATTTCAAATATTTTGAATTGTCCGTTGAAATGTTTCGATTATATCTTGTGAGGTAAAATGCAAATTGTTATTACAATTTGTATGAAAGTACAAATCTATTGTTACAAGTTGTATTGTCATTTAATCATTTATAACTTGTGCTTTCTGCTGAGAATAACCACAACTCAGCGAGTAACAGTTATATAACTGTTAATTATAATTTTCCACTCAGCAGTATAACTGTTTTACAATCCAGCAAACACAATGTTACATGGAACGTACATGTTAGTTGTAATTTCCTACTCAATAATATAACTGTTATATAACATGCGTGTTATGTAACAGTTATATTGTTGAGTAGGAAATTACAACTAACATGTACGTTACATGTAACATTGTGTTTGCTGGGAACGCATGCGTTATACAACAGTTATATTATTGCATGGGAATTTATATAACAAACAATTATGTAACAGTTACTTTGTGTTTTCTGGGAAGATACGATCGATGTCCCGCCACTACCGCATTATCTCTTAAGGACGAATTCCTGAGGTAATTTGAAGAAAAAAATCCTAATGCAAAAATGTCGAGGCTATAATACTTTTCAAATTATAAACGATTAAAGTTGACCAATTATATTGGCTAAAGTACGCACGCTCAAATATGGTACAACACACAATGGTACAAGTGCATGCACATAAGTGAGAATTTGCATAAGATATGAAATTACTTGTAAATCTCTGAAAGAAACGTCAAATGTGTGACAGCTTATTGATTCTCATAAATGTATTGTGTGATATTTTATTCATATCATTTTGACGAAATCGTTATTATTTGCGATGTTTATTTAAATGATAGAAAAGGCAGATTATTATTACATACGTTGTTATATGTATGGTATCAATATTTGGAAAAAGGACGACATGTGCATGCACCTGTACCATTGTATGTCGTACCTGAGCGCGCGTACTTTAGTAACTCGTTACAGTTATAGTTACTCAAAAGTAACGAGTCATTACTTTTAAGTTACTTTCTTGAAATGATTATTGTAAATACAAAAATCTTACATTTTAAGCTTTCCTAAAATGTAAGAATTGAATTTATATCTAATATTATATTAATTTGAATTAATATGCATTACATTAATTAGTCTATCCACTTAACAAATTTAAAATTTGTACTTAACATAATAAAAATTTAATAACAGTTTTGTAGAGGTAAAATAATTTAATCCATGCTCCATAAATACGTTAATAAATTTATTAAATTAATATACGATTATTATATAATTTTAATTTTATTTTACGTTTCCCAAATAACTATTAAAGTAACTGTTAAAAAAGTTACAAGTTACTAAAAATAAGTAACTAAGTTAAGTTAAGCCGAAAAAATGTAACTGTAACTGTAACTTCTTTATAAGTAACGAGTTACTTCCCAACCCTGTAAATATGAATGCAAATCGTGGCTCACATCGCCACTTTATTATCATATTTATTTAATTTAAATCGAAGAATCTGTCGATCATTAATGTTACGTAATAATTGTTACGTGTGCGCCGCGCTGTTAATCGTTATGTTACATTTAAATTTTGATTAAAACAGGTAAACGGTTTCGGTATCACCGGATGCAGTAGAGCTATGATGGCGAATAGGGTTTCCTACTGGTTAGGTGTCACAGGACCATCTTACACATTGGATTCCGCCTGTAGTTCGAGTTTGTACGCTATGGAACACGCTTATCGGTGTATTCAGGACGGGCAATGCGACGCCGCCATCGTGGGTGGAGCGAATCTGTGCCTTCACCCATACGTATCACTGCAATTCTCTCGCCTTGGTACTACAGTCATACCTTTCCGTTAAACATACATAGTTTTGTTATAAATTATCCAAATTCCCTCTCTCCCTAGACAGCACAAGATCTCCTCAGGACGTCCTAAGGAATGTTCTCAGGACTTCCTTAGGATATACGGATATCTGGGTGTCCCCTGGATATCTGTGCTGTTAGAGTCTTGTAGTTTAGAAAGAATCATAAAACCAAGTTATATTTCAAGAATTATCTCGGGGAGAAATCACGAAATAAATACTTTTACAAATCTCTCTGCACATTTCCGCACTTGAAAGTTAACAAGATTGTTATTTCAACGCAAAAAGAGATTTTTGTCGAAAGACACTGTTAATCGTTATAATATTAATCGTTAATCGTCGATAATTTAATTATACAATTAAAACATTGCAGGAGTTCTGTCATCCGACGGCTGCAGCAAGGTCTTCGACACCGATGCGGACGGCTACGCTCGCAGCGAAACGGTCGCCGTTGTGTATCTGCAGAAGGCGAAGGAAGCAAAGCGCGTCTACGCCACAGTTGTCTACGGCAAGACAAACTGCGACGGTTTCAAGGAGCAGGGTATCACATTCCCGTCGAGCTTAATGCAGAGCGAACTGTTACGGGAGTGCTACAAAGACTGCGGTCTGCCGCCAAACATTCTGTCTTACATGGAGTGTCACGGTACCGGCACCAAGGTCGGCGACCCCGAGGAGGCCAACGCCATCGACAGAGTCTGCACCAAGGGTCGAACCACTCCTCTTCTCATTGGTTCTGTCAAATCAAATCTAGGTCATAGCGAGCCCGCTAGTGGCATTTGTCAAGTCGCTAAGGTATCTTTTGTCTCTCCTTTTTTGGGAAAGTAACGCCTTTATTTCCGCAATTATTAAATTGCTTCTTTATTTTATTTTTATTTTGCGTCTCGTAAAAAAGTTGTGTTAATTTTACATTGTTACATCAGAAAAAAATTATAGAACGGCTAGGCAGTTCTCTAGAGAAACAATGATGAAGATTGCGTTAATGAAGAAAATACGTTGAAATAAAATTCGCGATTTATTAAACTACTAATTTATTAAATGCATAAAAGGTGCGATTGTTGTATTGTGAATATTCAAATATGGGTTTGAAAAGAACACTCGACAAGTAACTTTATATCATGACACGATGAATTTAATATGTAGTGGATTCTCGTAGGTGCTAATATCGATGGAAACCGGTATGATCCCGCCGAACTTGCATTACAAGCGACCACGAGAAGGCGTGAAGCCTCTTGAGGAAGGCCGGCTCAAGGTTGTTAGCGAGCTAACACCTTGGAAGGGTGGTTACGTGGGCATCAATTCCTTCGGATTCGGCGGTGCCAATTGTCACATCGTGTTAAAATCTAATACAAAGGAGAAGATCAACAATGGACTTCCTTCGGATGATTTGCCGAGACTCGTGGCGGTGTCTGGACGTACCGAGGAAGCTGTTACAACATTCTTGGATGATGTAAGCAATGATCGTAAGAGAACGAAGAGATGAAACGAATACTTGCGATTCAGAACTGGAGTAGAAAATAACATAAAAGTAAAAGAAGTCATGAAGAGAAAGACGTGAATTCCGAATTACAATATTTTTGAATACACATTCTCGCATGGACAACTTAACGGTGGAATTACTTTAGGAGCAAGTAGAATTGGTAAAGAACAAAGCTTCAGGAGCAAGTAGATTCAGCAAAGAGCAAAGTGCAAACTGAAGTGCACTCACCTTTCATTAGTTCCACAGATAGGCCCGTGAGAAAATCTATCTTTATTTTTGTAGATCGAGAGGAATCCGGTCGACGTTGAGTACATTCGTCTGCTACATGATATTCATACTGAAGATATTCAAGGACACTTGTATCGAGGATATACGATAGTTGGTTCGAAGACGGCGACAACGCCCACAAAAGAAAACGAAAATTATTTGGGAATGACCAGACCGATTTGGTTCGTGTTCTCCGGAATGGGATCGCAATGGCCTGGCATGGGTATCTATGATAAATTTTTTTTCATTGCTCAGCTATAAAAAAATATTACAATTCTCTTTTTTCCTCCTTCTCCTCCTCTTTCTCTTCCACCTTTTTTCATTCTCTCTCATTCTTGTCTGTTTCTCTTTCTTTCGACATGTTTTCGATAACTTAGAGAGATATAAGAGTAATTGCTAAAGACCACTTGTTAATCATTATATTTATAAAACAGGTATAGACTTGTTGAAATTTCCCGTCTTTGCTGAGGCCGTGAAAAAGTGCGATGACGTGTTACGGCCGCGCGGTATCGATATTTATAATATTTTGACAAACAAGGACAAATCTACTTTTGACAATATCTTGAATTCTTTCGTGGGTATCGCGGCAGTACAGGTGAGATATATGCAAACATGACATAATAATAATAATAATTACTATTATTATTGTTAATAAAACTTAATTGAATATTATTACATTATTATATAACAAGCATTTCAAACAAAAATAATATGAGACACATAATAATGGGAGGACAATAATATGAAACATACTCATGTTTCTCTTTCACTATCAATTTATACTTTGCATCTTGCGATTGTACGTAGATTAAGAGGGAAGATTAACCGCGTTCTCTACACTATTCTTCTGTATTCCGATGCGATATGAATTTTGCAGATCGGTTTGGTTGATCTGCTCACATCGGTGGGCATTGTGCCGGACAACATGATCGGTCACTCCGTCGGTGAGCTCGGTTGCGCTTACGCGGACGGTTGCTTCACCGCGGAACAGATGGTCCTATCGGCATACTCGAGAGGTTTAGCGTCCATTGAAACCGAAGTAATTTACGGTTCAATGGCGGCAGTCGGTATGGGCTACGAGGAGATAAAAAATCTGTGTCCCCCAGACATCGAAGTGGCTTGCCACAATGCTTCTGATAGCAGTACCATTAGTGGGCCTGCTGAATCTATGAAGGAATTCGTTGAACAATTACAGGTTCGTTTCATTTACTGTATGTATGCTGACTCGCAACTGAAAAGTCAGGAATTAAAACCGACTAAATTAGTTAAGTAAATCGAATGAAACTGTCTTCTCCAGATCGACCTCATACGTGACGATATATATACTACGTTTCTGCATATATTATGATCCTTTTAATTTTTAATTTTTCCTAATTTATAGTTTCCAATTAAATTATTAAATTTGATTATTAATAATAAGCAAATTAATTATTATCATTAATAATCCGATTGTAATTTGAATTAATTAGATTGAATATTTAATAATAAATTTCAATTATTATTTTGATCTTTCATCGTTAGCTTTGGTCTTCAATATCATAATTGTATCATAAATATCGCTTGGGATTGCTACGTTCAAATATGTTTTATCTGAAAATCTGTAGACCTATATATATTTTTTTTCTACTACAGGCTAAAAAGATCTTTGCAAAGGAAGTGCCATGCAGCAATATACCCTACCACAGTCGCTATATTGCGCCCGCCGGACCGAAACTTCTCGCTTACCTGACCAAGGTGATCCCGCAACCGAAGCCACGTAGCAACAAATGGTTGAGCACTTCTGTTCCTCGCAGCAAATGGTCCACCGCGTCTGCCAAACTGTCGTCCGCCGAGTATCACACCAACAATCTTCTAAGCGCGGTCCTGTTCGAGGAGACGGCGTGTATGATCCCAAAAGATGCGGTGACCATTGAGATCGCGCCTCACGGTCTTCTGCAGGCTATTCTGAGGCGATCTCTTAATTCGAAGGTCGTCAACATCGCACTCACGCAACGCGGTCACCGGGACAATGCGGAAAAGTTCTTACAAGCGATCGGCAAGCTTTACAACACCGGATTGCAACCGGATATAGCGACTCTTTATCCACCTGTGGAGTTCCCAGTTAGTCGCGGAACCCCGATGATCTCTCCCTCCATTAGGTACAAACCTTTATATCACGTGTACACGAATCTTAGAAGCTTTTATTTGTATATAAGAGTAACTTGACTTCTGTAGCAATATTTCATTCAAAAATTACGAAGGTTTGAGAAATCAGACGATGCGTAACGTGATTTCAGGTGGCAACACTCCGACAATTGGTACGTAACGACGTACAAGACGCAAAAGAAGATCACTTCCGGAGAGAGAAACATTGAAGTTTCGTTGAAGAACGAGGACTTTGAGTATTTGTCCGGTCATGTAATCGACGGGAAGATCCTGATTCCTGCCATGGGATATCTTGCTTTAGTTTGGGAGACTATGGGTATGCTGCGTGGGAAAATGTACACGGAGATACCAGTTGTCTTTGAAAATCTCCATTTCCTCCGTGTCACTCCTATTCAGGTGGACGGCAAAGTCGATCTAACGGTGATGATTCAGAAAGGTAATTCTGCTTTTCATTTGTTTGTAATAAACTCTGTTTTATAATGTCCAAAATATGCTGTTTCTACTCGGCATACTTTATACACAACTTTCTCTTTCAAAAGTTGATTATATCTCTCCCTTTTAAAATTTTCAATTAAATATACATTTTGAAATAGACAAGCAGGCAATACTGTCGATTTACATGTGAGAATATCACTCATATATGTGTGTATCTATATATTATATTTTTATTTTATTATGTATAATATGTATATAGTATATTCGAACAAACCTACTTTTTTTTTTAAAAAAAGGTAAAAAAAGAGATCAAGTTTACATGCTTATCTACACGTGTGGAATTATATAAAAATTAATGTTCTTATAAAGAATATTTCATTTGTAAAATAACATTTAAAAATGTTAATAAGAAATATTGTTGTTTAAACTTCTATTTTCTACAAAAAACGTGATATTAGGTAGTTACCCGATGAAAAATTTTTCATGCAAAATTTTGTATGAAATTTGTCCATACATAATTATGTATAATTATATATAATCATATAAAATTATATATAATTATACACAATTATGTATAACAATATGTATAATTACATATAAATTTATGCGTAATTATGTAAAATTATATATGAATGTATATATATAATTATACATAATTATATATAATTATATATAATTATATATATAAATAGATATATAATTATATATATAAGTATAAGAT